TGAACTCAGGTCTGAAAAGTTGGATCACTGTCCTCTTTTCAGATCTGGGGGCAGGACAATCGTGTTGTTTTGTTTGATGTAATGTGGGCCCTTGTCTCTGTGTTGAAGTCAGAGAATTCATTTCCGAAGCCCGCGATCTAGCCACTTGGAACACTTGAGCCAAATGTCGAAATTATGCAACTGAAAGTTCTTATATTTTGGGAGCTTTATTGTATGACAACAAGTCGAAATTGAGTGCGCGCAGCATGAAAAGAGTAAAAAAATAGCATCGCGTCTGGCTGGAAATGAAGTCTTTCTTTGTATGTGTATGTGTTATTCATGTGGAATTTTGAAAGATGTACATTTGTGACTGGCATTAACATGGTTCTTGCTGCTTTTGGCAGTATCTTTTTTGTCTTTTTGTCCGTGTGTCCTGTGCAGGTCCACGAAGAAGAAGATGAGGGTCTCTGGTGCAGAAGAAGACGCCGGGCAGCTTTCGTCGATTTAAAAGTTAAGTACTTGTAGATTTTACCCCCTCTTGAACTCAGGTCTGAAAAGTTGGATCACTGTCTTTTCAGATCTGGGGGCAGGACAATCGTGTTGTTTTGTTTGATGTAATGTGGGCCCTTGTCTCTGTGTTGAAGTCAGAGAATTCATTTCCGAAGCCCGCGATCTAGCCACTTGGAACACTTGAGCCAAATGTCTGAAATTATGCAACTGAAAGTTCTTATATTTTGGGAGCTTTATTGTATGACAACAAGTCGAAATTGAGTGCGCGCAGCATGAAAAGAGTAACAAAATAGCATCGCGTCTGGCTGGAAATGAAGTCTTTTTTTGTATGTGTATGTGTTATTCATGTGGAATTTTGAAAGATGTACATTTGTGACTGGCATTAACATGGTTCTGCTGCATTTTGGCAGTATCTTTTTTGTCTTTTTGTCCGTGTGTCCTGTGCAGGTCCACGAAGAAGAAGATGAGGGTCTCTGGTGCAGAAGAAGACGCCGGGCAGCTTTCGTCGATTTAAAAGTTAAGTACTTGTAGATTTACCCCCTCTTGAACTCAGGTCTGAAAAGTTGGATCACTGTCCTCTTTTCAGATCTGGGGGCAGGACAATCGTGTTGTTTTGTTTGATGTAATGTGGGCCCTTGTCTCTGTGTTGAAGTCAGAGAATTCATTTCCGAAGCCCGCGATCTAGCCACTTGGAACACTTGAGCCAAATGTCTGAAATTATGCAACTGAAAGTTCTTATATTTTGGGAGCTTTATTGTATGACAACAAGTCGAAATTGAGTGCGCGCAGCATGAAAAGAGTAACAAAATAGCATCGCGTCTGGCTGGAAATGAAGTCTTTCTTTGTATGTGTATGTGTTATTCATGTGGAATTTGAAAGATGTACATTTGTGACTGGCATTAACATGGTTCTTGCTGCTTTTGGCAGTATTTTTTTGTCTTTTTGTCCGTGTGTCCTGTGCAGGTCCACGAAGAAGAAGATGAGGGTCTCTGGTGCAGAAGAAGACGCCGGGCAGCTTTCGTCGATTTAAAAGTTAAGTACTTGTAGATTTTACCCCCTCTTGAACTCAGGTCTGAAAAGTTGGATCACTGTCCTCTTTTCAGATCTGGGGGCAGGACAATCGTGTTGTTTTGTTTGATGTAATGTGGGCCCTTGTCTCTGTGTTGAAGTCAGAGAATTCATTTCCGAAGCCCGCGATCTAGCCACTTGGAACACTTGAGCCAAATGTCTGAAATTATGCAACTGAAAGTTCTTATATTTTGGGAGCTTTATTGTATGACAACAAGTCGAAATTGAGTGCGCGCCAGCATGAAAAGAGTAACAAAATAGCATCGCGTCTGGCTGGAAATGAAGTCTTTCTTTGTATGTGTATGTGTATTCATGTGGAATTTTGAAAGATGTACATTTGTGACTGGCATTAACATGGTTCTTGCTGCTTTTGGCAGTATCTTTTTTGTCTTTTTGTCCCGTGTGTCCTGTGCAGGTCCACGAAGAAGAAGATGAGGGTCTCTGGTGCAGAAGAAGACGCCGGGCAGCTTTCGTCGATTTAAAAGTTAAGTACTTGTAAGATGTTACCCCCTCTTGAACTCAGGTCTGAAAAGTTGGATCACTGTCCTCTTTTCAGATCTGGGGGCAGGACAATCGTGTTGTTTTGTTGATGTAATGTGGGCCCTTGTCTCTGTGTTGAAGTCAGAGAATTCATTTCCGAAGCCGCGATCTAGCCACTTGGAACACTTGAGCCAAATGTCTGAAATTATGCAACTGAAAGTTCTTATATTTTGGGAGCTTTATTGTATGACAACAAGTCGAAATTGAGTGCGCGCAGCATGAAAAGAGTAACAAAATAGCATCGCGTCTGGCTGGAAATGAAGTCTTTCTTTGTATGTGTATGTGTTATTCATGTGGAATTTTGAAAGATGTACATTTGTGACTGGCATTAACATGGTTCTTGCTGCATTTTTGGCAGTATCTTTTTTGTCTTTTGTCCGTGGTCCTGTGCAGGTCCACGAAGAAGAAGATGAGGGTCTCTGGTGCAGAAGAAGACGCCGGGCAGCTTTCGTCGATTTAAAAGTTAAGTACTTGTAGATTTTACCCCCTCTTGAACTCAGGTCTGAAAAGTTGGATCACTGTCCTCTTTTCAGATCTGGGGGCAGGACAATCGTGTTGTTTGTTTGATGTAATGTGGGCCCTTGTCTCTGTGTTGAAGTCAAAGAATTCATTTCCGAAGCCCGCGATCTAGCCACTTGGAACACTTGAGCCAAATGTCTGAAATTATGCAACTGAAAGTTCTTATATTTTGGGAGCTTTATTGTATGACAACAAGTCGAAATTGAGTGCGCGCAGCATGAAAAGAGTAACAAATAGCATCGCGTCTGGCTGGAAATGAAGTCTTTCTTTGTATGTGTATGTGTTATTCATGTGGAATTTTGAAAGATGTACATTTGTGACTGGCATTAACATGGTTCTTGCTGCTTTTTGGCAGTATCTTTTTGTCTTTTTGTCCGTGTGGTCCTGTGCAGGTCCACGAAGAAGAAGATGAGGGTCTCTGGTGCAAGAAGAAGACGCCGGGCAGCTTTCGTCGATTTAAAAGTTAAGTACTTGTAGAGTTTA